AATGGGTCAATTATTACAGCCACCATTAGCTTGTCAGCTGCATAACAAGATAACTATTTTAAATGGTCACTTATTACGTAACTAACGCTACAAAAATAAATACACTTGAATTAGCCTGGATTTATGCTTCATACCTGATTTACAAAACATTTCAGTGCCCCTACGATATTCGTAAAAATAATGTTATTTTCCATGAATATGCTAAATTCCTCTTCATATGCACATTATTTTTGTTAAGGCGCTCTTCCACCTCCAACGCAGCTTATATATAAGCTCCTACCTTGGTAGTGTCTCATTCTTCACCTGAAGACGGCTGCTTGCGTTGTAGCCGAAACGTCGTGAGAATTATTTTATTTTATTATGTTTAATTTTTATTATTTTATTACTTCCCTTCTACGTGACTTTACCGAAAGAACCAAGAAGAAGAAAATGTTATTGTTTATATTAATTTGCTGATTCTTAGCTCGTGTGCCTTGAACAGACTGTTTGCTGGGACAAGTGCTGTTATAGGGAGCTCTTCTGAAGGCCGAAACATCACACAAGGTGGCCAGCACCACGTCCGGCTGCCTTTGTATCCCCAGTGGTTATGTTTACACACTGCATCAGCTACTCATTTAAGGCTGAGTCGACCCAGGAGATGCCCAGAACTGGTTCAAACATTCACCACTGTTTATCGGCCGTGAGCGAGAATCGAACTCTGGTCGCCGGGTTTGCAGCGCAGCGCGTTAACATCACTCAATCTCTTCTCCAGTCCATGCCGCGCCCGTTTAGCCCCCTCTAGCTGTTTAGGCATACGGTGGCTGGGCATGCGGGCTACATCACCCATCCAACGCAGCCTTGCCTGCCGGAGGAGCTCACCGATGGGACTTGGTCCAGATCTACACATACACGCACACACACGCACACACACGTACACACACACAAAGGCAAATATCCCCCCGTATAGCCTTGACAGACTGTAGGGGCAAGTGCTGTTAGCGAGCACCTATGAAGGCCGGAACGGTACACGAGGGGGTGGGTGGCCAGCACCACGCCCGACCGCCTTTGTCTCCCCAGTAGCGACGTACACACACACGTGTGCGTGCCCTGTGCGCACGACACCTGTACGACGCCTCCAGGACCCTGCTCACGGGGACTCGAGCCCGCGCCGGCGAAGGTTAATGCTCCGATCCGCGAAGCACGAAGCCAAACATCTGTGACTCGTCCTGCGCGAGCCGTTTGTCACGATGTTTATTCGCGCGCGTGGGCGCAGCTCCATTCAATTTGCCGTTCCTAAGGTGACGTGGCACCAGCCCCGAGTGGAATCGGGGGGAGGAGGAGGAGTTGGGGGGGGGGGGACGTTTCGAGTCGCCACTTAAGAGGTGGCCAATCCAGCGCTGTTGCTGGTGGGGGTATATGGGGGGCGGCGGGAGGGGGGGGGGGCACACCGGGGGGGGGGGGGGGGTGGATGATCGGGGAGCGAGGATTTGGATGGATGCCCGGGGGGGGGGGGTGGGTGGGGGCGGATGCGAGGAGGCCATGCTTGTTAAAACCCCAGTCGCGTAGCCGAGCAAAACATTCAATTACCTCTGGCCACGGAGAGGTGGGAAATCATCGTCGTGAAGAAGCGGCGTTTAATTTGTGGCCGCGTGGTCTCGTCGCGGCCGTGCGTGATTGGCCATTTATTTATTTTGTTTGTTTGTTTCCTCGCCGTCCCCCCCCCACTCCCACCGCTTTCCTTGCGTAGTGGGGGGCCTCGCCAAGGAAGTGGAGACGGCCCCCCGGGGTGGCACGGGGTCGATAGCAGAGGCCCCCCCGCAGGGCACGTGGGCCGAGTTTGCGGCCGCTGCAGCATTCCATTTGGGCGTTTGTCGTTCAGCGTTTGACACCGGCTGTCGTGACCTCTCGCGGAAGACATCGCTCTCCGCGCTGACCCGCTCACGTAACCCCCCTACCCCTTCTCTCTCCCCCCGTTAGTCTCCACGGTCCCCATCTATTCCGTCCGTCTGTCAACACATTCCTGCGGAGGGAGCTGGTAGGAACGTTGGGTTGCTCGGTCAATGGTCAGGGTCAATGGCGGCGTGGTGTATTCCGCAAATATGCCCGACTGTGAGGGCGGGCACAAGCCGGTGTGAGTAGGTTAAACGTTGAGTTTTATAAGGGCACCACGGGGTGATCAGCCCCTCACCACCCAGCCCCACCCCTCCCACCCCCCACCCAGCCCCTCCCCTCCCCACCCAGCCCCTCCCTCACCACCCAGCCCCACCCTGCACGACGGACGGACACAATAATCCCCTGTGGGCTGGTGGAACCAGTGGGTTCCTACCAGTATTAACAGAACTAAACAACAACAACAACAACCCGGAGACGGAATGTTGAACGTGCTGAGCAGGGGGCGTAGCGACTGTGGGTTGCGTGGCTGTCCGGAGAGACGCAGTCGGTGTCGATGCGGCTAAGCGACAACGGTGTCGGACAAAAATCCTGGGGGTGGAGCGTTTGGGGGGGGGGGGGGGGGGGGGCGGTTTCCTCCCTTGAACGAGCTGATGCAAGTGCCCGACTTACGCCGATGACAGAACCTTGAAATGCAGAGTGGAGCACAAACAGCGGGCCTCAGTCGGAGGCTGCTGAGTCGAGAGCCGCTCGCCGTGTAGGTTTAGTCCAAGTGCGGCGCTGCAGGACGCCTCTTGTGCCTGACAGAGAGGAGGAGGACGCCTCCGGCTTGCACAACGTGGCCACTCCGCTGCCTATTGGAAGCACTCAGATCCCAGATTGGAATAGGGGTATCGAGCCAACTGTGATTATCCGTGCATGCCCTCGGGTAGACTTAGACAGAGACCCATAGACTTAGACAGAGACCCATAGACTTAGACAGATACCCATAGACTTACACAGAGACCCATAGACTTACACAGAGACCCATAGACTTACACAGAGACCCATATACTTACACAGAGACCCATAGACTTACACAGAGGCCCATAGACTTATACAGAGACCCATAGACTTGCACAGACACCCATAGACTTACACAGAGACCCATAGACTTAGACAGATACCCATAGACTTACTCAGATACCCATAGACTTACTCAGATACCCATAGACTCACACAGAGACCCATAGACTTACACAGATACCCATAGACTTACACAGAGACCCATAGATTTCCAGAGACCCATAGACTTACACAGCGAGCCATTGCCTTACACAGAGACCAACAGACTTCGACGATAGGGATGTGACGGTGCATTGATTCATCAATAAAACAATTTGTATTCATACGCTTCCAATAGAAGCATTGAGTCATATGCTTAAGAAATAATTACTTTTATGGTTTATGCAAATCGTGTGCAAACGACATGATAATAATGTAGTCTTTTGAGCACAAGACTTATATTGCTTATGTCTGTAGCGTCAGCATCCTATCAATGAGGCCGTGTTGTAAAAACGAAATAAAATCCTCTTCAAATTATCCACGTGAGACGCTTTCCGCTATTTTTGCAGCATATTTTCATCCAAATTGTATTGTCAGCAGAGGGGAGTGTGGAACAACCCATTGCTGTATAACGCTCCTATGGCTCTCGCCGTTCTCTGGTGAAGTATGGTCAAAACCCCCTTTAACCAGCATGGCGTAGGGGAGGCCCTCGTCCAGCAGTGGATTGACAGAGGCCGCACACGTACGTGGCATGTGGATGAGAAACAGGGATATGTGTGTTGCAGCTAATCTTGATTTTAAGCTTTCGTGACTGCAGGAATCCATACTCTTTGGTTCTTTCGGTAAAGTCACGTAGGTAGAAAAATAAAATCAAATAAAATCTAATATATCACGCCTGAGGACGACCGCTTGTGTTGCGATCGAAACGTCGTAATATTTTTGGTTTGTTTTATTTTATTTTTCTACCGACGTGACTGTTTACCGAAAGAATCAAAGAGTATTTGTTGAAGCTGTCACATCGTAAGTTGCCAACCGTGCTAATCGGGGGTGCAGGGGAAGGACAACAAACTAACAACAACAACAAACAAATGCACAAAGACAACTGAACAACGGATGAGAAAATCGCGCAAAAAGTGCTGCGGACGGAGACTCGGGATGACGCTGAGAGACGCGGGAGAAGGGGATGGGGCAGGAGACAGGGAGAGGGGCAAGTTGGCTCAGGTAGTCGCTGGATCGCTTTGGTGGTGATGCCGTGAGGTTGCTCCTCAGCTGCCGCTGGGGGTGGGGGGGGGGGGGTCCCTTGGCTGGGCTGGAGGGTACTCTGAGTTTTTTCGGTAAAGTCGCGTAGGTTAAAAAAAAATGAAAGGAAAATTAATAAAAAATAAAATAATAATTTAAAAAATCACGACGTTTCGGAGGCAACACAAGTCTCCGTCATCAGGTGGGACCGTCACAGCCAGATTTGCTGTACGTGACTTTACCGAAAAAAAACTAAGAGTATGAATCCTTGCAGCCACGAAAGCTTCAAATCTAGAATGGGCTGGAGCGCTTCACTGAGACGCTTGAGATGAGACGCGATGATGATGATGCAGTGTCGCTTGGAGTTACTTACAGTCGATCCTCTCCCCTCCTCCTCTCGTACCTCCCCCTCTCACCCCCCACGTGCCCCCCCCCCTCACCCCCACTTGCCCCCCCCTCTCACCCCCCACGTGCCCCCCCTCTTTCTCACCCCCACGTGGCCTCCCGCACACCCCCCACGTGCCCCCCCTCTCACCCCCGACATGGCCTCCCTCTCACCCCCCACGTGCCCCCCCTCTCACACTCCCCCACGTGCCCCTCCTCTCTCATCCCCCACTTGCCCCCCTCACTTCCCACGTGCCTCCTCCACCCCCACGTGCCCCCTCCACTCCCCACGTGCCCCCCCTCTCACCCCCCCCCACATGCCCCTCCTTTCTCACCCCCCACGTGCCCCCTCCACCCCCCACGTGCCCCCTCCACCCCCACGTGCCCCCTCCACCCCCCACGTGCCCCCCTCTCACCCCCCACGTGCCTCCTCCCTCACCCCCCCCGCCCCCCCCCGCCCCCAGCGTGCGAGCTCATGGAGCAAGGAATCCTGGCGCTCGTGAGCTCCACGGGCTGCGCCACGGCCTCCTCGCTGCAGTCACTGAGCGACGCCATGCACATCCCGCACCTCTTCGTGGAGCGGGGGGGCCCCGCGGCCTCCCCCTCGTCGGCAGGGGGGGCGGCCGGCACGGGGGGCTCTCCCCGCAGCGGCTGCGAGCTGCCCCCGCACCCCCCGCCGCTGCCGCCGCAGACGACGACCGACCCCGGGGCGCCGGGCGTGGAGGAGCCGCAGGGCTACACGCTGACGGCGCGGCCGCCCGCCGTGCTGGGCCACGTGCTGACGCGCGTGCTCGCCGACTTCGCCTGGCGCAAGTTCATTCTCTTCTACCAGGCTGGATACGGTACGTGGCCGCGGGGCAGGTGGCAGCGACCCTGCTGGGTGGGCACGGGTGACCTTGGCCGGCTTGGCAGGGTGGACGCGAAGTTGAACTAAGCTGAAACTAAGCTATGGAATATTTCACGACGTTTCGATCGCAACGCAAGCGATCGTCATTGCTTGCGTTGCGATCGAAACGTCGTGATATATTATTTTGTTTTTACCTACGTGACTTTACCAAAAGAACCAATGAGTATGGATTCCTGCAGTCACGAAAGCTTCAAATCAAGATATTAACTTTTTCTTTATTTTAACAGGTAAGGCCCACCGAGCTATCTGGCTCTTTTTTCAGAAGCGACCTGGCCACAATTGATAGCTCAACGAAGTGGCTTATCACGTGGAAATGCATAGCAGCCAAAGTACTCTGAAACGCACGTTGATTCTAAATGTAGAGGGGTGAAAACTGGAAGACCCAGAGAAAAATCCATGGTAAGAGAGACACTGCAAACTCCAAATAGACAGCAGGCGTCAAGGTCGGGATTGAACCGACGACCTCCTGCGTACCAGGCAAAGGAGATGACATTTTACAACCGTGTCCATGCAGAACCTGGTCAGGTCTTTCGCGGGGAAGTCAGAATATGTATTCATATTTTAGAAATCCGATTGGCTGTAAAGCTCGTTTTCACAGATATCTTGACAGAGTTCCTGTCTCTTTCGCCATATACAATAAATGTATTTTTTTCTCCTTTTAAGGCCACGCGGTGCTACTGACAAATGTGTTGAATGTTGTATTTGCTATGTGTGTTTGTGTGCCGCTGCCAACGCTGCAGTAGCAGTAGCAGCATCGCCTGATAATCTGGCTGACGCTGGGTTGAAGACGCGTTGCTCAGCCTCATCTAAAAAACACAGCGCGATTCAAAATAAGCCCGATCGCAAAAGAGCCCAAGTAAAACGTTAAACCGGTGAAGGGTGCAATTAGAGTCACACATGGCCATGATTTGTAGCTGCTTATGTTCTAAAGTCAATTGTGTATCATTATGTACAGTGGGTAGTCCATTCAGCTGCGAACATTGCCTTGGAAATAAAGAAATTAAACATTAAATGAGGGACCCCCACTCAGCTGGCTTCCTAGTGGGCTGTGCGCCGCTGCGAGGCCACAGTTCAACTCGCGGTGGAATGCACGCGGCTCGCACCCCAATCCCAGATACTCAGCTCCCCAAGGGCCTCGCTGCTGCCTCGTCTCTCCCCTTTCATCTCCCTTTACTCCCTTCCACGCACTCTCTCTCTCTCTCTGTCTCTGCTCCAGCAACCGTGGCTTTCATATTGGTCAACCTTGGCTCAGTTTGAGGTCGACCGACTGTACCTAACTATACGATTTACTATTTTTACTTTACCAGGTAAGGCCCACTGAGCTATGCAGCTCTTTTTCAGAAGCGACCTGGCCACAAATGATAGCGCAATGAAGTGGCTTACCACGTGGAAATTGACAGCGACCAAATGCTCTAAACGCGTGTTTCTCAATGTGAAGGGGAAAACCGGAGAACCTGGAGAAAAATCCACGCGACCACGGGGAGAGAGAGACAAACTCCACAAATATACAGCAGGCGTTAGCCTCGGGATCGAATCCACGACCTCCTGCATACCAGGCGAGGGAGTTAACATCTCGCCACCGTGGCACCTATAACTGCCCACCTCCCCACCACCAACCAGCAATTAATTTAATCAATTACCGAATGAGATTTTCCATCTCATTTGGTAGCCCGAATGTAATTATTACCGTGCACGTGAACAATGTACACACCTTTGTCAATCCACTGCTGGATGAGCGCATTACAACACTACGCGGGTCGTTTGTTAGCGTCGTTTGGCCAGTGTGGGTCGATGAAGGTGTGGAGCGTAGACATGGCAACATAGATAGTACAGCGCAACAGCGGATGTTTCTGCACTACCCTCGTACGCGCTCACAACGTATCCCCGCAGCAGCCTATGACACCTGTTTTTTGCATGACGATTGGCCACCTAAGCATTATCCAGGCTCAAGCATGCTTAGCTTCCGAAGTCCGATGATATCGGCCACATTTCTGGGCGATTTGGGTCATAGAACAATGGTGGAAAAATTTATTTCCATGTTTTTTTTTTATTCTCTATGCGCACTCGCGCAATTTGACACGTGTACCGGTGAGGCATTTAAAAAAAATTCCGAATTGATCGATGAATCGATGCATCGCTGTTATGCCTGGTACAGGCATCGGTGGCCGTTTCCCCGCCTTCCTTCCACGGGATTGCTCGTGCCGTTTGCTCTCACCTGCGTAAATCAAGAAAATTGAATCGCGTTAAACCACGAAGCCACCGGGGAGCACTTAAAGACTCCCTCCGGCGCATTAACCAATTAACCAACGGAGCAGACACATTGATCAATTTAGACGCTACCCAACGCGTAATTACAAATTCGCCACTTGCTCCGGATTGTTGTGAATTAGCGCCAGATTCCCTCCTCATAGAGCAGACCGTGTTAGCAAAATCATGTGAGGAGGGACTTTGTGTTAAAAGATGTTTCGAGGAATTGTGGCTGCAGTCACGTCGCCAGCCCAGTGCTGACTTGACTCTGTTTGTAGTTAGCGTACAAAATGACGTTTATTTGTTTGCGTCGTTTGAACAGGGCCCACCGCGATTTCCCGCACCTCCGATTTTAGCACGGCTGGCTCCGTATGGTGCAAAAAGAAGTTGGACGTGTGTACATATACGCGGTGGTTTTGCCAAGAATATTTGCCAACATCTGCAGCATTTGTTTAACGAGCCTGATGAAACCTACAAGGTCAAAGCCGGTCCATGATGTTCTGGATTACATCGGTCTGGAGAACCAGTTAAACTCCTATGGGATAATTGTGTATACATAGGTGTGGAGAGACAGAAGAGAGAGTTATGCTTATATGTGTATTAATCATTTGAACAAGGGAGACAAAACATACACATGCATGGATTCTGGAACTCGGGGTTTCGTCAGGCAAGCTACGTGGGCAGAGCTGGGCACGGAAGGGAGGCTGCTCAGTCCCCCCCTATGAGTCGCCACGCACGCGGGCGCTGGGGACCATTACATGATGGCATGCGAATGCGTAGTTGTTTGTTCCAACTTGTTTCTTCATCTGCCCAGCTTTCTGTCCCATGCATCAGCTCCAGGTCTCGCAGCAAATCCCATATCTACAGCACCGCAAGTCCTCTGGCAACCTGTTTTTTTTGTGAATGGTGGCAGCCCATCAATAAAAGCATGAACCAGGATCGCGAGTAGCTCCGTCATCGACCACCACGAATCAACTGGGCCTCCAATCCGCCTTGCCGAGGATTCTCTCCGCTAATCGGAGCCCTCCAAATAAATAAATCACTGATAATTATCCCCCGAGCGAGAGGAGAAAAAAAACGACACCGACAAAAAAAACACGCGTGAAACTTGAAGTTTAAAAAAAGCAATATATATGTGTGTGGTCATTTCCAGCCTGAGGGCCGGCCGGTGTGCTTAATCTGGCGTTAAATATGCAGAACAAATTAACGCACACACGAGCGGGATTGACTTTAACTTAACCCGGAGGCTGGCCCCAAGGCGGTCGTGATGTCGAGCGTGTCAGCCGGGCTGACCTCCCCGGAGATGCGTGCAAAGACAAAGATATCCCCTCCCAATCCCGTACAGCCTTGACAAACTGTCCGGTCAAGTTTCTGTTTGCGAGCACCTGATGAAGGACGGCACTTGGGCGCACACACAGGTGGGGTAGGGGTGACCAGCACTAACGCCCGACCGCCTTTCTCTCCCCTAGTGGCGATGTATGCGAACCGCACCAGGTACACTCGTTTGAGGCCGAGTCGACCTAGGGAAGGCCCGGGACCGGTTCGGATATTTCGTCACCGGTGTTGTCGGCCGCGAGGAGGTCACACGAGACAGACCTCCCCGTCAGCCGTAAACAATTGCGCGATGAGTTTGTTTTATACATGTAGATATACAGAAGGCTGCACAAGCATTAGAGGTGAAACATTTAATATTACAAGCAGGAAACAGGAAAAAAAACAATGGAACGTTAAGGTCATCGTGAACACGAATGAATCATGATGCACTTGCATATCTCTGTGTGTGCGTGAGTGTGCTCGTGGCAGGTGAGCGGTCCGCGTGACGCGCTGCAAACCCGGCCACCCGAGTGCGATTCCCGCTCCGGGCCGCAAACACCCAGTGACGATTATCTCAACCGGTCTTGGGCCTCCCCTAGGTCGAGTGTTACCTGGAGCGGCGTGTGAACATCGGCACCGGCGAAAAGATTTCTGACCACGCCACCCACTCGTGGTGTGCAGTGCCGGCCTTTATAGGTTCTCTCGCCAGCAGCACTTGCCCCAGCAGCCCGCATGCCTAGCCACGTGGGATCGTTATCGCTGTACGATGAAGGAATACCTAAGCAATTAGCAGATTACAAGCTGGCACCTCCGCGGATGCTCGTTTCTGTTGCCGTGCTGGATACATTCCCTCTGGCAAATGAGACAGCGGAAAGGGAATATGAAAGCGTGGCTATTTACAATGATGAAATGCACGCAAGCCCACCCACCTGCACTTCCGATTAGCACAGTAGGCAACAGAGGTACACGAAGGGGTGGGTGGCCAGGACCACGCCCGGCCGCCTTTGTATCCCCAGTGGTGACGTTCACACACCGCACCAGGTACTTATTTGAGGCTGAGTCGACCTAGGGGAGGTGCAGGACCGGTTCAGACAATCGTCACAGATGTTGACCGTGAACGGGAACCGAACTCGGGTCGCCGGGTTTGTAGCTCAGCGCGCTAGCCTCTACACTACCGCTCCCCACCCACACGCACACACACACACGCACGTAGGCACACGCACACACACACGCACACACACACACACGCACGCACGTAGGCACACGCACACACACACGCACACACACACACACGCACGCACGTAGGCACACGCACACACACACACGCACGTAGGCACACGCATGCACACACACGCACGCACGTAGGCACACGCA